GCTTTGCCTGAAAGTTCAGGGCAGACCAAACCACTGTTGCAACTTTGATGCTTGGGCACAAGGCATACATTTAAAAATAAAATGGCACAGTGGCATATGTAAATGGCTTTTGCTGCAGAGAGACTCTTCTGTGTTAAGAAACCATTGTTGGCATTGCACTAACTCTGATGCATGGACAGCACAGCGGAGGCAACGGGCACACAGCCATGTAAGAAGCTGTCCACAGAATCAGACGCATTAAAGCAGTGTTCTGGTCCTTTGGAACCTCATTAATGTATTCCGTGCATTGTGGCAAATTGGAAAACACATCCAGCTGTACCACTCAAACAAAAGAGTTAACGAGACGTGCAATATTAGAGGAGGTAGAGTGTTAATGATTTTTTTTAATTCCCCCCCCCACACACACACACACTGTTGCAAGGGGAATAAATTCTTCTGGGGAGGAGTTTACATTCCGACCTACCCCTGCACCCCAGACAAGCACCTGGGCACTTCACCGATAAGGATGTCTCCATGCCAGTCTGGCTATAATCCTGCCTACACAGATTTTTATTGCTATGACATCATGCAAAGGATAAGACAATAATTATACATAGCGTTTATACAGAACAGAGCTGCGGTGGCTCAAGTGGTTAAGACGCTGAACTGCAGGCTGTGGAAGGTCAGTAGTTCAGCAGTTCGAGACCCGGGTGCTGCATGATGGAGTGAGCTTCCGTCTCTAGTTCCAGCTCCTGCCAACCTAGCAGTTCGAAAGCAAGAAATTGCAAGTAGATAAATAGGTACCACTTCGGTGGGAAGGTAACAGCGTTCCGTGCGCCTTGGTGTTTAGTCATGCCGGACACATGACCACGGAAATGTCTTCGGACAGCGCTGGCTCTTCGGCTTTGAAACGGAGATGAGCCCCGCAACCCTAGAGTCGGACTCGACTGGCTTTCGAGCAAGGGAACCTTTACCTTTATACAGAACATCCAGCGGCTCAAGTGCCTCACATTATCTTGTCATCCTTACAACAGCACTACAAGGGAGGCCAGTATAATTAACTCTCATGTTACCCCTGGAGCAAGGAGTCAGGAGCAAGTGGCTTGCCTAGTGAGTCCATGTCAGAGGGGTGAAATCTGAACCGGGGACCTCCTCCCAGAGAGAAAAGTGGAGATGCAGCAACTAGGCAGAGCCTTTAAACGGCAACACAAAGTGCTAGATGTACAAATCCATCCAGTGGGCGATACCCTTTCAGATTTGTTGGTGGCAGTGGTCCTTACCCAAAGAGAGAGAAAATCGTAGACCCTGGGCGTAAGCAAAAGGGGCAGCGTCACAGGGGTAGGGACCTGGGATGACCGTGGGGCTTTTCTGAGCTCCTGTAACGGGGCTTGCAAGTCTGTTCCTCCCAGATGACAAGTCCTTCTCTTAGCAATTCGGTTCAGAAGACAAAAACATAGAGGACTCATGACAGATTACACAGAGAGTAACAATGGATTGGCACAGTAATGAGATAATACGGAGAACAAGAAAAACTGTGAAAAAGTGACGCTTAATATATGTCTTTAAAGAATCATAGAAAAGTGAACAAAAATAATATACATAATCATAGAAAAATATATTGACAGTGATCTCCGGAATGTCTTGCCATTTTGAAGGAAGATCTTCTTCTGAACAAAGATGTAGGACAAACAATGTCTCTCAGTAATTCATATCCTCTGGTGATGTCTGCAGGTTCTACTATACATTACAGCTGTTATGAACATTGAAAATCTTACTTGATAATTGTGAGACGTCACCAGAGGATATGAACCTGCAGGTTCTACTATACATTACAGCTGTTATGAACATTGAAAATCTTCCTTGGTAATCGTGAGACGTCACCAGAGGATCACTGTCAATATATTTTTCTATGATTATGTATATTATTTTTGTTCACTTTTCTATGATTCTTTAAAGACATATATTAAGCGTCACTTTTTCACAGTTTTTCTTGTTCTCTGTAAGATTACACAGAGAGTCAATACAGGCAACAAGAGGGGACATTCAGTAAACAATGGAATAGGATTTGGGTGGCGGAACCAACAAGAAGTCTAAAAAGCAGAACCTGAGTGAAGCTTAAGTGCCTGGCCGCAGGATGGCTCAGTTAGCTATCATTAGGGGAAGGGCCTTCTCAGCTGTGGCCTGTGGAATGCACTCTCAGATGACAGCTGTTAGCAGCCCTGTAGCCAGAAAAATTTGGCTGGTGGGGCAGGGGAGCAGGGATCGGGGAACTTAATTAGATTAAGTAGGGGTAAATGAAAGAGAGAGAAGGCTGATTGGAGGGGACTGAAACTGACCAGAAACGGCAGGGTGGCTTTCCTTTCCTTCCCAAGCTTCCCTGCCACTGTGGGGGCAAGGCGCACCAGGGGGTGGGGTTTTTTGGCATCCTCCCAGGGTGGGGCAGGGCTCATCTGTGGCAGGGCTCTGCCCACAAATGCCCCACCATGGCTATGGGCCTGGTGCCCTGCCAGACTTTAGTTTTGGCAGGGCATGCAAGGCTGAATTGTTTAGGTTGGCCTTTGGGGGTAACCACATGTTTGGGTTGTTTTCATAGTGGTATGGCGATAGCCAGATATTTTAATAATTTAGTATTTTAATGTCGGTATTTTGTATTTGCTATTTGTTTTATGTTTTATCTTACTGGTTTTAATGTTGTAAGTTGCGGCAACTAAAAAAAATGTAATAAATAAATAAACATGACGCATTGAATGATGCAAAACTTCACAATGGGCTCCAACCCCCAGCAAACTGTACAAAGTAGTACAGACCACAGTCCCCAATAATTTACCCAAGTAATTTTGTGTAGCCTTTTGTGCAGTGCTACTCCATTGCCTGCACAGAAAAGCCCTCTCGAATAATTCGGTTTTGCATAGAACAAAGTTTGAGTCCAGTGGGGGCAACTTTAAGGCCAACAAAGTTTTATTCAAGGTATGAGCTTTCGTGTGCGAGGCACACTTCTTCTGATGAAATATCTGAGGAAGTGTGCATACACATGAAAGCGCATACATTGAATACAACTTTGCTGGTCTTAAAGGTGCCTCTGGACTCAAACTTTTTCTGGCTGCCCACCTGAATCAATTTTGCATAGTTTGTGGAAGGCCAGGAGAGCGGGAGCCTTTCTGACCTCCTCAAGGCAGGCCATTCCACAAGACCAGGGCCACAATGGAAAGGGCATGTGTACGATTAATTAATCAGTCTGAGCTGAATGGAACCTCCATGCTCAGAGGCAATCTACCTTTGAATGCCCAGGGACAAACAGCAGGGGAGACTGAAGGCGTTGCTACTTTCCCCTTCCATCTGGGGAATGTGTTCGGGGAAGGTCAAAAGCTTGCTTTGCCCTTTAATCTGATAGCAGCCACATTGCTCTCTTTGGTCTGTTTGGGAACGTCCAGCGCTGGAGGTGCAAAACTGGACAAGACGGACCTTTTGACCCAGCAGTGTAGTTCTTCTGTTTGCTTTAAAACTCAGTGGAGATTCTTTCTCTAAACAGTGTAAATAATTACTGCTCTGGCCTGAGGCACCCGTTCTCTTGAGGGCAGTTTGGCCGTGCTTTCCTTATTGGGGCTGGGGAGAGGGGCAGGCTTTTGTTTCCTTGTTGACTTCCATCTGTGGAAATTGGCCTTTTGACCTGATGCCTGGGAGTCGACTCCACTCTGCAGGGGAGATTCCCCCCTCCCCCCCTGTCCAGATTGCGTGTTTGTGTGTGTCCTTCCAGCAAAAGCACTGCGCTCGCTTAGCAGCAGCAAAGAGAAAGAACTAGACAGTGAGTGGGGAGTTCCCTGGTTCACAGCTCACCACGGGCTAGCCTTTCTCTCGGCCTTGGCCCGCTCCCTGTCTGCAACTGGCATGCTTAACAGGGCTGTTGGAAGGATTCCGAGAAGACATTTGTGGGATGCTTTCAGCACTCTCAAGCGGTGTGTCGGCACAAAATATCTATTGCATTTGGAGGTAGGACAGAACCCTTATGGCTCTGTGATGATGTGCTTGTGAGTGGGTGGGCCAGGTGAAATTTCGGAAGATGCAGGGATGCCCAAAGGAGGCATTTTATGGTCCGAGGGCGGAATTCAACACCTTCCCTAGTGCACTTACTCTGCCAGTGGTAAAGTCTTGGGTTCTGTCCCTGGCAATTCCAGATAGCCTGTTGGGTAGCAGTTTTGGGGAAGACCTTTCCTTGTCCGAGACCTGAGAGAGCTGCTGCTATTCAGAGGGCTGAGTTATGTGGAACGATGGGTCTGCTTCCTAGGAGGCAGCTTATGTTCAGTATAAGCCTAGAGCCCTGCTGAAATACACCAAGGGTCCAGGTAGCCCTGCATCCTGCCTAACAGTGGCCGGTCTTACCTGGAGCAGTATCATTCTGCTCTGCTGTGCTGTGCCTCTTTAGGAGAGTTATAGGCGATGTGGAAGACCTCTCCTAGAGTTCGACTGTGGAAGACCTTGGAGAGCTGCTACTGGTCTGAGTAGACCATACTGGCTTTGATGAACGGATTGTGTGATGCAGTGTAAGGCCACTCCATGTACTCAAAACTTGGCTTTGCCGAATGGCTTTTTTAAAAAATGGAGGCCTGAGAAAAGATGAATCACTCTTCGAGAACAGCTCTCAAGGTCCCTTTTGTTGCTGAAGCAACACCTATGTGCAAGCTTTGTGTCATGCTTTACTCAGGCACGCACACCTTCTAGGAAAAGGAACGGAATTTGACCTACACCCATCAATAGATCTTGAAACACATCTGGCCCCACAGAAGCCACAGTTAATGTTGGTTTTCCCTCTGACTTTGTAGGCAGGCTTGTCGAGAGGCTCTCGATAGTTGTGAAGCAGCCCAGGGGAAAAGAGAAGTCCTCTTATTTGGGCAGTTTAGGTGGTTTCACCCTTTACGTTTCTAATCTGTGGTCGTTGCTGCCTAGGAGAGCCGGGTCCTCTGACGATCCTCCAGATAAAGAACGCAGCCCTCTGTCTGGAACCAAATGTGCTCTGCTGTATTTGGTTTTAGTTCTAGCCACAACCTGCAACAGAAGGTAATGTTTTCGTGCAAAATGAGGAGTTGGTTGGGATTTTGCTGTACAGTTTTTAGAATCTACTGACTTGTGTTGTCTCACGGTCATATATTTTGTCTTTATCTTGGTTGTTGGGCTAATTTCTTCCTTTTGGGTTCTCATTACCACTAAAAAAACCCAGCTTAGAGTTGGTATAATGTTTTCTAACTCATTGCAGAGGGAAATTCTTTTCCCAGCCTTTAATCTTGTGACATTGTTATGGGTCGGCAGAAAAATGAGTATGTTAGATTCTGCTTGTTCTCTTTAATTTTGATCTCTGATGAATAATGTGTGTTGAGGCTGAGGGTAACGGTGTTTTGAGATCCGTTTGAACCTTGAAAATGAGGCTCTTGTCACAGATCCAGAGTGCCTGCATGATGCCAGAGAGTTGCCACAGGGAAAGCCAACTGACTGGGCATGAAGGAAACAGCCCTGCTTCTGAGCCTGTATGTAGGAGTGACAATCATTGTATAAAACAAGCAAAAAAAAAAGAAAAAAAGAACGATGTAGCTTGCTTCCTGTTTCTTATTTATTTATTTATTTATTCGATTTGCTATCCCGCCCTAACCCCTAAGGGTCTCTGGGCGGCTTACAGAGGGTGCTAATCACATTTACAGAATCTAACCTAGGGCCACAGACATACAGGGGTGGTGACTACCCTACCAGGCACCCCTTTTTTTTTCTTGATACCCTTAGTGCAGGATGAGAAGACACCCTGGATAAGGCCATAGGCGCGTCTCCCCCAGCTTCCAGTTTCCAAAAGCTGCCCATCAGACACATCCCAAGAAGCTCATAAGCAGGGCAGGAAGACAACAGCTCTCTCCTGTTGTTTGCTTCCAGCAAGTGGTATTCAGAGGTACACTGCCTCTGACTGTGGAGGCTCTATCTATTTAGCTTACATGGCATCCCAATGCTGCCTCCTTCCGGAGTATGCCCCCACAGCAAATGAGCAGCGAAATTTGATTCCAGCTTTTGGCTGGTGAGCCCCTTAACAGGTCAGTAACCAGTTTGGTGTAGTGGTTAAGTGTGCGGACTCTAATCTGGGAGAACCGGGTTTGATTCCCCACTCCTCCACTCGCACCTGCTGATGTGACCTTGGGTTAGTCACAAGCTCTGGCACAGTTGTCCTTGAAAAAGAGCAGTTTGTGTCAGAGTTCTCTCAGCCCCACCCACCTCACAGGGTGTCTGTTGTGGGGAGGGGAAGGGAAAGGAGTTTGTAAGCCGCTCTGAGACTCCAAGTGAAGAGCGGGGTATAAATCCAATCTCCTCCTCCTCCTCTTCTTCTTCTTCTTCTTCTTTTGTAGTAGTCCAGATGTGACTTAATTTTCCTCCCTCTCCTCCAGTAGGTCTGGATCTTTCTGGACCAGGCTCTTTGTGGCATGAAGTGCCGAAACCGATACGGGCGGGGTGATTTGCTTTTTGTGTGGTGAGACAGTAACGTGACCAAAAAATGGTTGGAAAAGTCAAGCAGAATCTGTTGCTGGCATGTTTGGTCATCAGTTCAGTGACCGTCTTCTATCTGGGCCAACACGCCATGGAGTGCCACCATCGGATCGAGGAACGAAGTCAGCCGGCCCGACTGGAGTACTTGAGGGCCACGTCCCGATCTGGCCTGAGTTCGAAAGAAAACGCTACCTTTGCTTATCACAAAGATATGCCTTTAATATTTATTGGCGGGGTGCCCCGAAGCGGCACCACCTTGATGCGGGCGATGCTGGATGCCCACCCGGACATCCGCTGCGGGGAAGAAACCAGGGTGATCCCTCGGATCCTGGCGGTCAAACAGATGTGGGCTCGGTCGAGCAAGGAGAAGATCCGTCTGGATGAGGCTGGTGTGACGGATGAGGTTTTAGACTCGGCCATGCAGGCCTTCTTGCTGGAAATTATTGTGAAGCACGGGGAGCCGGCTCCTTACCTGTGCAACAAGGACCCCTTTGCTCTCAAGTCCTTGACTTATCTTGCCCGCATTTTCCCCAATGCCAAGTTTCTTTTGATGGTACGGGACGGCCGGGCGTCCGTCCACTCCATGATCTCTAGGAAGGTCACCATTGCTGGGTTTGACCTCAACAGTTACAGGGACTGCTTGACTAAGTGGAATCGGGCTATCGAGACCATGTACAACCAGTGTGTGGAGGCCGGATCAGACCGCTGCATGTTGGTTCATTATGAACAACTTGTCTTGCACCCGGAGAGGTGGATGAGGACTCTACTGAAGTTCCTTCGCATCCCGTGGAATCCTGCTGTTCTGCATCATGAAGAGATGATTGGGAAGGCTGGTGGTGTGTCTCTTTCCAAGTGAGTAGACTTCTGGTGTGTGTGTGTGTGTGTGGGGGAAACCAAAGGGAAATCTTAGGGTGTCCTTATGCTACCTGGTATGATGCAGTGGATGGACATCCTCCCAATTAATCAGCTAGAAGAGCTCCCAAACTGCAGGCAATTAAACAATTGAAGACTCCTGTGAATCCAAACTGAGGAGGCTGTCTGTTGCATCTCTGTATGCTTACTGTTCTGGCCTCTCCTTTTTAGCAGCCTCCGTTTCAGGAGACTAATTCTACTGCATCTCCACATTGGCAGTGGTTGGGCTCCTCGGTTGTGCCCGATGCCAAGGAAGTGGAATGACCAGCTCTAAGAAGATGTGTCCTGTTGTGCCTCTGTATGAGCAGCTGCTAGGTGATTCATGCAGAAACACAAACGGTGGGCTATTCTATCTCCCTTTATAAAGCAGATCTCTTTGGGTGCAGGAGTAAAGAGTAACTCCAGTTTTAGTTCGAGGGGGGGGGAGTACATCTCTGTGTCGTTTCAGAAATGCTGCTTTAGTGTTTAAAGATTGTGTATCATTACACATTTCTGAGCAAGGTTTATTATAATCACTTATAAAATCCCCCCTCCCCTTGTTCATGTACAGTATTACTTTTGGTCATTAATCTTCAGATGAAAACTTGATGTACTTTAGAGAGAGCTCCAAATAACTGCCAACTTCTGCTAGATTAGAGACAGATCCCAACAGCTGCTAGTTAAAGTGGTGGAGACGGCTCTGTTCCTTTTACAAGCTCTTTCACCCCACGGTATCTTCTTCCAGCTGGAGAGCTTTCTTTTTGCACCAAGTGGGGTCTAAATTGTCCTGACCTGACCTCATCAGATCTTGGATCTCCCTTGGTTAGTCTTTGAAAGGGAGACCACCAAGGAAGTCCAGGATGGAGAGGTGCAGGCAGGCAATGGCAAACCACCTCTGAACAGCCTCTTCCCTCGAAAACCCCAGGGAGTTGCCATTAACTCAGCTGTGACTTGACAGCAAGATAACACCCCCCCCCAAACAGTCGAAATTAATGGATGCCGCAATCCCAGACAGTGTTGCATCATTCTAAACCTGAGTTAGGGTATAACTCTGTTTAAGATGCACTGTGAGCCTGCACAATACCTCCTTTATTCCCCTTTAAGATCATTGCAGATTGCTGTGTGTCAGGCTTTTCCATCATGCCTTCTTTTTTCTCTCTCCCCCGTTTCTTTTTTTGGGGGAGGGTAACATTGGGCCTGAGGGAGACTTCTGTTAAACTCCAAAGCTGGTGTTTTTTGGGGGGGGGGGGGGGCTAACTTTGTAACTTGGTACCAATTGTGGCTCTCCTGGTTCTGAGTCTGGCTGGGCCCCTCTCCTGGCAGGGCTACTTGTCTTCTGCTGACTTCAGCTGTTCTGCACGCAGGCTGTGCGACGTGGGGGAACGGGACAGGATCCAGACGGGAAGACGGCGCCTGCTCCCTTCCCTCCTCCTCATTCCATCGGGTCGATCGCTCCCTCTCTTATGAAACTATTTAAAAGCTAAAGATGCTCGCACGGCAATTTGCTGTTTACTTGGGTCCTAGAAACGCAGCAGAATCATGGTCCTCCATCTGTTGTATAACCACCCAGTAGACTGCTGAGCGTTTGAGGTCAAGGGCTCTCTCTTTTCCCCCTTCTCTGCCTCCTCGGGATGGTTCGGTTTTAACCTAAGGCGACGATGTCCAAAGGGAGGCTGTGAGCCAAGGCTTTGGCAAGGTGCTCAGAGAAGCACGAGACGTCTGTGGATCGAAGTCACTGCCAACGTGGCTGTCAGGAGGGAAGTGGTGAAGCAGAGGGCCAAGCCGCAAGGAAGGTTCGAGGCGCCCTGGCATTGCCCCCCCCTTCACTGGAAACAGCTGTTTGGCTGCCGCAGCCCGCAAAGAAATATTAGCCCTCTGCAGGCCTTTGGGCCAGGTTTCTCCCTTCCTTACTGGCAGCGGAGCCCAACTCAGGACGGCTTGCTCTGTGTGGGGGTTTCCTGCAGTCCCCCCTCCCCTCCCTGTTTAAACATCCCCTCTTTTTGCATCTCAGAGAGAGGGAAGGCCTTGGGGAAGCTGAGCTCCTGGAGTCTGGCCTGCCCTTTCTGCAAGAGATCAATTTTATTATTTATAGAATTCATTCAGACCCTGCCTTTCTCCCCAAGGGGGACCCAAAGTGGTTACATCATTCCCCTCTCCCCCATTTTGTCCTTACAACAACCCTGAGAGGTGCGTTAGGCTAAGAGAATGGGGACTGGCTTAGGTCACCCAGTGAGTTTCCATGGCACGGAGGGGGATTCGAACCTGGGTCTCCCAGATACTAGTCTGACACTCTTAACCACCATACCACACTGGCTCTGGATTGATTATGGCGTGTGTGTTAATCCAGCTTTCTCCTCAAAACAACCCTGTGAGGTAGACTTATCTAAAAGCTTGGCAACACGATGCAGGGAGTTGTGTAAATAAAGGTCTCAGTGTTTATTTTTCTCAAGAAATGAGGCGTTGTCACTCTTTGCCCTGATGGGAATACGTACTTAATTATTTACAAAATTTCTGAGCCCGATCTGAGCCACCAAGGCAGCTAGTGTTTGAAACAAAGCACCATAAAGCCAAAACTCAAATACAGACAGAGACAGCAGTTGAAATTTTAAGTGTGGTCTGCTTGTTCCTGGTTTATTTATTTTTAGCACCGCTGGATGCGGGCAAACGCAGCCAGTATCTGGATAAGCGCTACAGATAAGTTTCTTGTTTAAGCCGCCCTTACTGGTTCCATGCAAATTTATTACCCTGGAGGTGTCCTTTACAGTTTTTTTTCTCCCCCTATTGAGATGTGTACACAGCTTTCTAGTGTTTTCTGAACCCGGCAGTAATAGTGCAATGATAGTGCTCCCACCTGTTTTAACCCAGGGGGCCAAAGCTAGCCAGGCTTATTTTTAAAGAATTGTGCCTGGGTTCCCTGGCCCCTGCTCTGGTTCCTTGCAGCCACACAGCAGCTGTAGTGAATGGTCAAAGAAAAAGATCTCGGAAGGTGCCCTGGTTAGTCTTTGGATGGGAGACCACCAGGGAATACCAGGGTCACGTGCAGTGCTCCCTCTAAGCTGTGGAGTCTTGTGAGCAAAAATTCTACTTTGTGAGCTCCTGGCATTAAAGCTGTGAGCGAGTGATTTGGCTGCTGCATAAAATCAGTCTGCTCTGGAGCCCTCCTTCCTGAGCTGAGACAAAAATGTGTGAGCTGGAGGCTAAAGAACTGTGAGCTGGCTCACACTAACTCAGCTTAGAGGGAACACTGGTCACGTATCAGGCAATGGCAAACCACCTCTGAATGCCTCTTGCCTTGAAAACCTTCCTGGGGTCACTGTAAGTTTGCCGCGAGTTGACAGCATGTTGTGTGTTTGTTTGTGTATTGAATGCAGTTTAATTGCTTCTGAGTTACGGCGACCCTATGAATTAATGACCTCCAAAAAGTTCTGTCCTTAACAGCCTTGCTCAGGTCTTGCAACCTGAAGGTCATCATGGTTTCATTCATTGAGTCAGTCCATCTCACCATGTTGGGTGGGTCTTCTTTCCCCGCTGCCTTCAGCTTTTCCTTCCTTCTGGTCTTTCCCAGTGACTCCTGTCTTCTCACAGTCTAATAGCACTTTATACCAGACATTTGGGCTAAGAACACCACTGGAGGAGGAAGGTTACTGCTTTACTCTGAGCCTTTCTTCTCTGGCTGTGTGGCTGCAGAGCAGAGGGGTCTGAGGAATGCTTAAACATAACCTTGTTTGGCTCCCATCAGCCCACTTAAAGCAAGACAGCATAAAGAAGAAACTTGAAGAAGGGTAACAGTAGAAGTGCCCTGACCTAGATAACCCAGACTAGCCCGATCTTGTCAGATCTCAGAAGCTAAGCAGGGTCAGCCTGGCTAGTATTTGGATAGGAGACCACCAAGGAGGTTGCTATGCAGAGGCAGGCAATGGCAAACCCACCTCTGAATGTCTCTTGCCTTGAAAACCCGACGGGGGGGGGGGTCACCATAAGTCAGCTCTGACTTGACGGGAATTTCCACCAGCCTGGCTAGTATTTGGATGGGAGACCACCAAGGAGGGTGCTATGCAGAGGCAGGCAATGGCAAACCCACCTCTGAATGTCTCTTGCCTTGAAAACCCGACGGGGGGGGGGGTCCGCATAAGTCAGCTCTGACTTGATGGGACTTTCCCCCAGCCTGGCTAGTATTTGGATAGGAGACCACCAAGGAGGGTGCTATGCAGAGGCAGGCAATGGCAAACCCACCTCTGAATGTCTCTTGCCTTGAAAACCCGACGGGGGGGGGGGTCCGCATAAGTCAGCTCTGACTTGATGGGACTTTCCCCCAGCCTGGCTAGTATTTGGATAGGAGACCACCAAGGAGGGTGCTATGCAGAGGCAGGCAATGGCAAACCCACCTCTGAATGTCTCTTGCCTTGAAAACCCGACGGGGGGGGGGTCACCATAAGTCAGCTGTGACTTGATGGGACTTTCCACCACCAACAACAGAAGTAGAGGGAAATGAGTGCAACAGAGAGTGTATAAACCTAGGCTGTCTCAGTTTCATATCGTTCCAGAAATGGTCCCCACCTGCACTTGAATTTCTCCTCCATTTCTTGATGATTTCTTTTGCAGCAAGAGCAAGAAAGATTTCCATCCAGGTCTCCACACTGAGTGAAGTCATATTTCGGCAGCAAGGGCTGTTTCCTCTGAACATTTTAAATCCAGTTTTCTTTCTTTCCAGAGTGGAAAGGTCCACGGATCAAGTCATCAAGCCGGTCAATGTAGAAGCCTTGTCGAAGTGGGTCGGGAAAATCCCGGCCGATGTACTTCAGGACATGCCTGTCATTGCGCCGATGCTGGGGAAACTCGGCTACGATCCCTATGCCAACCCACCAAATTATGGGAAGCCGGATCAGAAAGTTCTTGAAAATACCAGAAGGGTAAAAAAAATAATATATATTTTTTTTGGTTGGATCATTCAGATGCTGTATGTATGTCAAGCTGTCTGGTATATGTAGCGCTTCACAGAACACTATGAACAAAAGACAAGTCTCTGTCCCGAGGACCATACAACCTAAAGGGTGGCAGTGGGAAAGAGGAAACAGCAGGGGTGAGCTATGAGTTTGTAAAACGGGGTAAGACGATTCCAGAGCACCTCATTTCCCAGGAACGGAGGTGTTGGGTGGGAGCAGTTTCTCTCACTGCATATTCCCAACAGCAACCCAGATACAGTTCTTTCTGTGCACCAGATTCCAGATGATACAAGCTGGACCTGTACAACAGGAGTGGGTGAGAGTCTTGCATAGTCTACATATGTCATTTACTAGCATTCTACTAGCAAACTCCCCTTGGTCCATTGATAGCATTTTAAAATTTGCACATCCGAGGTGGCATACTGAGAATCTCTTAATTTATTTTATATTTATTTAACTTTCAGTTTATATACCGCTGTAACCCCGAAGGGTCTCTGAGCGGTTTACAGACAATTTCAGTTACCTATCTAGGGCCACATTATGTAGGGGAGTGACTGCCTACCGGCTCCCAGGCAGCAGAGTCCTGTTGTTATACGGCTCTTCCAGGTGGGCTTTGGATGTTATTAATGTGATGCTGAGTCTGCACTTGGCCTTATAAGGCCATAAGAAGATCTTCACTGGATCAGACAATAATAATTCCCCCTCTCGTCCTTTACAAGAATCCCAGCCAGGTCTAGGCAATCCACTTAAAAGTGGTCAGCAGACCAGTGTTGAGTGGTTGACCCCCACCCCCCCTTCTAGGAGGAGCACCATCTGCCCCAAAAGTCTGGCCCCAGGGAAGAAACAGCGGTGGGGTTATTGCTTCCCCTCCCCCCACTGCTGGAAAGAGTCTCTGTCCTGAGTCAGAGTCCGATGCCCTAAGACTGCAGGCATGAGGAATGAGGTCACCGTATTGTTCTTAATCTATTTTTTTCAAATGCTTTGGAGATAATTGGATTGGAAGCTGGGTAGGCCGGGGAGTAACAACTCTTTTTTAAAAAACACCGTCTGTGCTCCCACGTTTCATAACACACTGGGAATTATGGCTTGCTGGGGATTTAGCTCTTTCTTTAAATATTGGTACTCTGCATTTTTCCTCTGGTCGAGACCGAAAACAGCTTTACAACATCATTCTCCCTTCTTTTTTTATCCTCACGAGAACCCTGTGAGGTTGGAGAGGCTGAGAGTGAGTGAGTTACCTTCGTTCAGTCCGCAGGCCTCCGTGGGAGAGTGAGGGTGGGTGGGTTTGAATGCGGTTCTCCCAAATGCTGGTCCGACACTCTAATTCAGGGGTCCCCGATATGGTCCTTGGGGGCACCATGGCATCCACTGGCACCTTTCCTGGTGTCAAGGGCTTTTAGAAACTGGGCAGGGCTAGGTGGGGTGTTTTCCCAGCAGGGCTTCTGATTGGCTGTGCAGATTAAAAGGCATCCTGTTCAACAGAGCTTCTGCCTGAAACGCTGAAGAGCTACTATTAGAGTTATGGATAACCTGGCTCCATGATATTTGGTGGCTGGCTGCACCTCCTGTGGCCGCCATTTTGTCACTGTGCACACCACACTGTGTCAGGATTCCAAAAACCGCCCGCAGCCTTAAAAAGGTTGGGGGGCCCTGCTCTGGCAAGACACCATGCTGGCTCTCGGGTGGTATAGTCCTGATAATTCATAAAAATGAACACCAAATCTTAGCAAGATCCAAGCCAAGGGGAGTCCCAGGATGCAGGCAGCTGTTTCCAGAGGGTTGCAGACATAGGTGATGCCTCCTGAGATCTTCTGAAGAACCTCCGACTCCAGTTAGGTGGAGGAAAGCCAGGATGAGCTCTTTGCTTTGGGGGAAGATGGGGGTGGTCTCTACGGTGCCCACAGGTGGCACACTGGGGATGATTGCCCTACACAGCTTGCAGAATTCTTCCTAATGTGCTCAGGTCCAAGGAAGAAAACATCCTCTGTGTGTCTCTACTGAAGCATTCAGGTGATCTTTCTCACTGAGAATCCTGTATGAAAAGGCATCTGCCCAATAGAGGAAATAAATACAGGAAAAGGGAAAAAATATGTTTCAATCACTGATGTTTACAAGATTCCTTTTCTTCCCCCTCTCCCACCACCAGGTTTATCAAGGTGAATTCCAGCTTCCGGACTTCCTTAAAGAAATGCCACAGGTAAGGTTGGCACGTTCATAATCTTGCTGCATTGGTCGTTTTCATCATTACCCACCACTTCCATGAGGCAACCCACACATTCCTAGGGAGGACCTTAACTGCCTGTTACCTCTGTTTCCGGGTTCACTTTGGGTCCTGCCAAGCCAAGCACGTGCTGAGAGTTCTGCGTTTGGAGCTCTGAATGATTTATTTTCAAAAATGGCTGTAGTAGCATGAAGAAGGTGGAGCCAAAGATGAGCTTCCTTACAGAGATGTCAGTGAAGGACATTGCCGGAGGGGGGGGGGTCCATGTTGTAAGCTCCGACTAGCCCAACCTGGGTGGATCACGCCAGACCGATCTCAGAAGCTAAGCAATGTCGGCCTTGTTTAGTACTTGGATGGGAAACCACCAGGGAAGTCCAGGGTCACTAAGCCAAAGTAGGCAGAGGCAACCCGTCCTTTGCCTGGAAAACCAAATGGGGTCGCCATAAGTCAGTGCTGACTTGACAGTACTTTCCGTAAACTCTGCCCATGTTATCACTCCATAGATGTTTGTGGAGCTGTGTGAGAATAGCCTTGGGGAAGAGGGGCTCCTACACCACTGTGATCGTAGAAGTATTTGACTCTGAAAGGTACCTCTCCATGGGAAGAAACCCCACGCCAGCTGCATCGAAGAGAAGCTTTGGTGCATTGTGAGAAACGGCTTTGTTTTTCTTGCAGCCCAAGAAGAGAGTAGAAAGGAGGTCTCGTGTCAAGATAAAATGAATAAGGAGCTCCCCAAGTAGAGTAGCTTGTGGTGTCTGTCGCTCCTTTTCCATGCACAAATCCCTTTTGGCTGCAGGCACCCGAGCGCCTACTGATAACCTCTTTTGTGTGTGTGTGTGCGAGTCCATGTGCCCTCTAACATGTGAAGGGGTGGTGTCTCTTCTCTAATTGCTTCGGGAAGCCTGTGTTTGTGGTTCAGCTGGTTGCGTGGAGCTAACTCCTGTATCCATTAAGCTTGGTGCGCTGCTGCCCTTGGCGTACAGCTTGGCTCCAAAGTCTGCGTGCGCACAGCTCATGCCACTCAAGACGTTCTCCCGCTGCCCTGCATTTCCAGTAGAGTTGCCAACCGGTTGGATCAGGTGCAGTTGATCAGCTGTCTGGTTGATCACAATGCAAGACGTGGTGGATTTTTTAAAAAATTTGAGCCAGTGTGAGAATTCTTAGGGTGTTTTTGTTTTTAAATAGATGAGGCAATGGGTTTCTATTTTGGATGGCTTTAAAGCAGATTGGGTTGGATCCACCAGTTCCCCTGTATTGCCGAAGAGCCCCCTCCTGCTGTTCTTTGGGGTCCCCTATCCCTCAGAAACAGCATCTAATGGAGACAATGGGCTGCAGCGGGAGAACAGAGGCAGGAAAGTTCTGTTTATCTGATGGAAAATTCAGGCTGGATCCAACCCATTAGATAGACTCCTAAACAGTCAGTTTCCTTGAGGAGAGGGGAACAGAACCTCCATGTTCAGAGGTAGTATGCCTATGACGACTAGAGGAAAACAGATGATACTCACATAACCTTCATGCCATGCTAGCGGTCAGAGACATCTGGTTGACCTCAGGTAAAAAAACAGAACAGTGTTTTAGGTTCAGCAAGGCAGTACTTAATTCTGTGTAAAGCAGACCCATCGCTAGAGTGGGGTTTTGGGGGCTCTGCCCCCTATCTTAAAAAGGAATTCCCCGCAAGAATTTCTCCTTTAAATGCTTTTTCAATCATTTTTAAGCACTTTTTAAAAGGTGTGCACTCTTTTAAGCAGAATGGGGTACTGTAGTTGACTAATTCCTGCACTGAGCAAGGGGGTTGGAGTAGGTGACCTCTAGGATCCCTTCTAACTGGTCAAAAAACTGGTCTCCTTTAAGAGAGGTTTTTCTGCCTAAGTTTTAGCTTTCTTGACTATAGAAGTCATCACCCCCACCTGCTGGCTTGTTATCAGATTTCCTGCTTAGGCTGGCAAAAGTGATTAACTTGCAGTAGCCGAAAACTATCATTTAAAGTGGTTGACAGCTCACAATTTAAAGATCTATCCTGATAACAGCTTTCTGTTGGCTAAATGGCTTTTCTTTCTGCACTGAGAACTTCAGCCTTACCAGAAAAAAAAATTGTTCTGCAAGCCACAAAATCCTGGCTACAGGCCTGATTTAAAGGAACTTGCATATTATCAAAACCTCAACATCCCTTGCGAGATGTTCAAGGGAGTATGAGAAATCTTGCATTTAAGATCAACTCCTTTCTTTAAAATCCCCATGTGAACCATAACAGCCATTCTAGATAAATTGAAGGGTAGGGGAGTTGCCCTGAACACTTTACCGTAGTTGATTAAAACTGGCACCCACTGTTTAATCAATTAAAGTTTCATTTGGTAGATGTACTGATCAGCGCTTACAGCTCGAATTTATGTTGCCTGTCCTGATTCAAAGACTTGGATACTTTTAAAAGATGGACTACTTTTGGCAAACATTGCAAGAAAGGGTGGACCCTGATAGGTGAGGGGAAAGGACAGAGGCTGTGGGGTTAATGGCCCTGGCACAGGGGGATTCAGATCCATGCAGGGCACTGAAGTGGAAGCAGTGAAAGTTCTACTTAGTGTCCTGTTGGAATCTGTTGTTTTTCCAAGCACTGATTGCACATATTTGTACACAGCCATTAGGACTAGAAACCCTCTTTATTTTTTTTTGAAAAAGAGAGAGCTAAAATGCTGAATTTTGCTCAGTGTTTCCCATACTAAACCTCTGTGAATGATGTCCCCCTTCTGCTTTTGTAATGGAAAAGAATTTATTCTATGGGGCCGTAAGTCTTACCTTTTCAAAAAGCAGTTTTCTTTGTTCCCTTTGGTAGAGTGATGCTGTGAAATAGAAGAACTGGTGAGAATTAACACACACAAATGGTAAGAACATGAAACACCCCATCTTTCAATGCATTCTAAGTTGTAGTGGTCTTTTAATGACAGCTTCTGTGTGTGTGTGTATGTGTTTGCATTACTTTGGACATAATCCTCAGACTGTGGATGCATTTAACTGCTGTCTGTTATTCCGAACATTTAAGAAAACCGTGGTCACTGGTTGATTCTGCAAAAGATAACCTTTCCCTCTTGCCGACAGGAATGTGGCCCAACGGTGCCTTTTGCTTTGGCCAGAGTCCAGCTGGACTTTGCTCAGCCTCCAGAGTGCCAGACCAGAGCATATTTTAGTTTGCCAACTGCTGAGATTGCAATAAGGGGTGCTTGGACACCCTCACTGTTCACGGCTGAATCAAACTGGGATTGAGCAATCTGCCAGGAAGGAGTTGGGTGAGACCCCCCCCCCCCCTTGCCCTCTGGGTAAATGCAAAAGCAGACTCCATGCTAGTGCCATTGGTGAGGACTAGGATCTTGAAAGCTGGGATTCTGTTGGGTTGTTCACATGAAACTGCCTTATACTGAATCAGACCCTTGGTCCATCAGTGTTGTCTACTCAGCCTGGCAGCTGCTCTCCAAGGGCTCAGGCAGAGGTCTTTCATATTACCTACTGCCAGATCTTTTAACTGGAGATACCAGGGATTGAACCTGGGACCTTCTTCTTGGGATAACACCTTTGGGAGGGTGCCACAGTTCCATTGTGGAACACCTGTACATAGATGATCTCAGGTTTGATCTCTGGCACCTCTACTTGAAAGGAGATTGGCTAGCGCTATTGGGGAAGATCTCTCAGTTGCCTGGGAGATTAGGTTCTCTGCTTGGGAACTTGGATACCCAGTGTTAGTCGAATGAGACATCACCAGTCTAGGTGAATTAATTTAATAAATGAATGGACTGACTTGGTCTGAGGCGCCTGTACTATAAGGCAGGATGGATTTGGGTTTCTTTTTAAAGGAAGCGGAATGGGAAACAAAGAGATGAGGCCCACAAGGCAAAAGGCTTTTGTGTTTTTTCTGACTCGGGCAACAGATATTGATGAGGATAAATCAGCACCGCATTTTAAGTCACAATCCCATTAGCACAAAATTGTGCAAGAGGTTCATCACTCTACTTCTGCCTCTGTTTAGCTCCTGAACCTTCTGTCTACTCTTGAGTAGCGTGTACTTAACAGTTTTCTTTTTTCTCTTTTGGTTAGGGATGCTGGCTTGCTTTTTTGTTAAAGCAAAGTGCTGTGCTGAGATCTACAAAGAACACGGCGAGCTGCTTGCCTCACTCGGGAGTATTTTCCTGTTCCATACTGTGGTCTTTTTAAAAAATTGTTTTTTGAGCACCTGTAAATCGCTGTGGCTCAGCCCTTGTGCCACTGTCTCCAGAGAAGCCCCACTGAAGAGCTGGAGATGTTTTGTGTGAGTGCTTCCAGGGCCCAGGCATCGGGGGGGGACAACAACAATCCAGTGGAAAATTTCCTCCTGAGCAAACCCCATTGAAGCAAGCGAGAGAACATGGCGCATAGCTTCCTTTCATCTCTGTGACACTTGCCCAGGTGACGTTGCTGGAGGACCATGTCCAAAGTTACGCACTTCCTCATACCTGATATTGGAAATCCAGCACTATTCCAAGCTTACCACTGTTTTTTTAATATGATAGGACAGTGTTCTGGCTGGGCTAGAGATAACTGTCCTGGCTCTCTCACCTGTTGCTTTTTAAATTTTCCAATTGCATTTTCAACACTGATTTGAGATTTTGAATATGTAAAAGTCTCAGAAAGCTGGATCTGTTCTTGCTGCAAGATATTTGACCCTGGCGCATTCATCCTAACATGTGAGCAATTGGCTGTAATCACACTGCGTGCATGTCCGTTTATCTGGGTGAACCCAAAAAGTAATTGACACGTGGAATTCACTGCCTCAGGAAGCATTGACAGCTTCAAGAAGGGACTGGATAAACATATGGAGCGGAGGTCCATCAGTGACTATTAGCTACATGGTATAGATGGAACACTGTGTCTGGTGCAGTGATGCTCTGTATTCTTGGTGCTTGGGGGGTAACTGTGCAAGGGCTTCTGGAGTTCTGGCCCCACTGGTGGACCTCTTGATGGCCCCTGGGTTTTGGCCACTGTGTGACACAGAGTGTTGGACTGGATGGACCACTGGCCTGATCCGCATGGCTTCTCTTATGTTCTTATGTCATCACCAGAGGGTGATTAAGAAGGAAATCCCGGTCTGTCTCTACATGGATGTTTTGCTTCGTCTTGATTTCCTTACAGAGCACTGTTTTGGGGAGCATTCACAGGACATTGTGTCTTCTATTTATCCTGCTTTTATATTTTCCCACTTTGGTTTGGAATGATCTTTTTGGAAAGATACTGTGCATGCTATGTGGATAGAAAATGGCCATTTTTATAGGTCCTGCACACATGGACACTGTTTTTTTTACGTTGGACCCCGTGGCTGCTATTTTCCCACCAGACGAGATCATTTTTAAAGAAAATTGGGGATTGTTAGATTACTGTATTATTGTAACCCTGTATTGGAACAGTGCATTTTTCTCCACCTTTCTCTTTTTTGGAAAAAAAAGGACGTCTCTAGATGCTTTCATTGCACAGAGTTATAAGGGGAAAAGTGCAAATGACATTTTCTCTTATGTCCGCAATTGAAAGTGTTCGGGACTTTTACAAAAATGAAAGCTGGGAACTAGTACATTGTTGCATTACATCATTAGAATGTTATTAGATTATTAGAATGTTATAACAATCTAGCTCTTTCTGATGTTTTTTAAAGGCCTAAAAAGCCCTCTGGTAGCAGACAGGAAAATAGCAGCTGCAGAAGGCTTGGGCATCTGAAGTGTGGGGAAAACATCCATGTGGATGCTCCGTTGCCACTCTAAGTGCAACAGTGAGAGGAGCCACACAGAAAATCATCTCCATGTGAACACAGCCCTGTATTCCATCCAGTGATAGACATTAACAGTGGTGATTGTGTATCCGTAAACTGTGAGAGAATACAGGCATGGGCTGGATCCAGCAAAGACCTGTAGTATAACCCTGAGTGACTGGGGTCTTCTCTCTTAATGCTTTGCAGTATCTTTTTCCATTCATGACTCATCCAGCAGATTAACCAGGAAGCAGCAGTATGCTTACTCCTGCGTGTTTATTGCATTTCTTTGACCAAGGTGATTTTTTATTAATTTTATGCAGAAGGATTTCTGTTCCTGGTTTTTTTTCTTTCTAGTTTTATTGCCATGTGAAAATGTCCTGGCTCTTAATTATTTTAAAAAAGCGGAATGATTTCTGAGATGCAGAGAAATGACTTGTATGTTTACAATTCAACAACCTTTTGTATTTTATTTTTCAAAATAAATGCTTTAAATGTGGACGTCTTATAGTCTGAATGATTTGGAAGAGTATATATTTAATATAGTTTGTGCATTGGGGCAAATGAAAAACAAATTCAGCTGTACCACTCAAACAAAAGAGTTAATGAGACATGCAATTATCAGAGGAGGTAGAGAGCTAGGTTTTTTTTTTAATTCCCCACCACCACTGCAAGGGGAATAAATTCTTATGGGGAGGGGCTCACCCTCCCACCTACTCCTGCAGCCCAGGCAAGCACTTGGGCACTTCCACAGCTAAGGACACCTCCATGCCACCCTGGCTAAAATCCTGCCTACACCATTTTATTGCTATGACATCATGCAAAGGATAAAACAAGAATGATACGTAGCATTTATACAGAACATCCAGCAGTTCAAGGGAGGCCAGTATAATTAACTTTCATATTACCAGTGGAGCAAAGAGTCAGAAGCAAGTGGTTTGCCTAGTGAGCTTGTGCCATAAGTGAGATTTGAACCAGCGACTTCCTGGATAGCGAAGTGGGAGGTACAGCAACTACCAGAGCCTTTAAACAGCATCAGATACAAAGTGCTAGATGTATAAGTCTGTCTAGCAGGAACTATTCTTTCAGAATTGTTGGGGGTAGCGGTTCCTACCTAGAGAGCAGCTGGTTCACCCTGGGAGTAAGCGAAAAGGACAGTGTCTCAGGGTGGGGACCTAGGATGACCATGGGATTTTTTCCAAGCTCCCGGACGGTGTCCGTTTCTCCCAGATCACATCCTTATCTCAGCCACTCTGTTCAGAGGACAAAACCATATAAGATGTACCTATGGATAAGTGTTGGGTGAATAGAGCCTCCATGTTCAGAGGCAATATGCCTTTGAATACCCAGGGACAGGTGACTCCACTCTGCAGGGGAGTGTCTCCCGCCGCTCCCCTGTGCGGATCATAGAATCATAGATTTGGAAAGGACTTCCAGGGTCATCTCGCCCAACCCTCTGAACAATGCAGGAAATTCACAAATACTCCCCCTACACACCCTCAGCGACCCCTGCTCCATGCCCAGAAGATGGCAAAAAACCCCAAACACCTCTCCAGGATCCCTGGTCAAACTGGCCTGGAGAAAAATTGCTGCCTGACCCAAAGTAACATGCTTCTGTGATGTTGGAAATCCAGCACTGGTCCTTCCAAGCTCACCACTGTTTTTTAAAATGTCAGGACAGATGGCATTCTGGCTGGGCTAGGGATAACTCTTCTGGCTCTCTCGCCCGGTGTTTTTAAAATTTTCAGAACTGACTTAAGACGTGTAAAGTCTCACAAAGTGGATCTGCTCTTGCTGCAAGATATTTGACCCTAGTGCATTGATCCTAAAATGTAAGCATCTAGCTGTAAACACACTGTTTACACGTGGGTTTATCTGGGCGCATCCCTGCCAAGCACACAACTGGTCATCACTAGATGGTGATGAATAAGGAAAGGAGGCCTGGTCTGTTTCTACACAGATGTTTTGCTTTGCCTTGGCTTCCTTTCAGAGTACTGTTTTGGGGAGCATTCACATTATATTGTGTACTCTACTTATCCTGCTTTTATGTTTTCCACCACTTTGGTTTGAAATGACCTGTTTGGAAAGTTACCATGGATGCCATTTGGACACAAAGATTAAAGCTGTCATAGGTCCAGCCCATGAGGGCACCATTTTCTTTACCTCTAAACCCCATGGCTGCTATTTTGCCACTAAACTAGAAGTTTTTTTTTAAAAGGGACTTGATTACTATACTATTGTAACCCTCTATTGCAACAATGTACTACTTTCCACCCTTCTCTTTTTAAAAAAAGCTAGTCTCCATCCTCTTCATTGTGGAGTTATAAGGGGGAAAGTACAAGTGACATTTTCTCTTATCTCTGCAACTGAACGTGCTAGGGATTTTTTGAAATGAAATCTGGGAACTAGTACATTGCTATAAGGTTCTAATGATATACTGCAACAATCTAGCTCTTTAAAGTTTTTTTAAAGGCCCTCAAAGCCCTCTGGTGTCAGGGAGGAAAACAGCAGCAACAGAAGACTTGGGCAAGATGTGTGGGGGAAACTTCCATGTGGATGCTCTGTTGCCGCTGCAAGTGCAGCAGTGATAAGAGCTATGCAGAAAATCATCTCCATGTGGACATAGCCCTGGATTTCATCCACTGATAAATATTAACAGTGGTGACTGTGTACTGGTAACCTGTGAGACAATACAGGTGTGGGCTGGATCCAGCAAAGACCTGTAGCGTACAACCCTGAGTGACTGGGGTTTTCTCAACACTTTGCAGTATATTTTCCCATTCATGACTCCTCCAGATTAGTCACTATGCAGCTGATTTTTAAAAATTTTATGGAGAAAAATTTCTGTGCCTGGGGTCTTCACCCCCAGTTTTATTGACATGTGACCTGGCTCTTAATTATTTAAAACAATTAATTTAATTATTTTTCAAAAGAGGGATGATTTCTGAGATGCAGAGAAATGACTTGTATGTTTACAATTCAACAGTCTTTTGTGTTTTATTTTTCAAAATAAATGCTTTACATGTGGATGTCTTTAACCTGAATGACTTGGATGAGCACGGTGATGGATGGCAATTAGTTGGGAATTTAGTGTGACTAAGACTGCTGGATGAAAACATCAAAATGTTGTCTAAAATCAAATGATACGATGAATATGGGGAGTGGACTGTTCCCTGGAAGGCCAGATACTGAAGCTGAAGCTCAAATACTTTGGCCACCAAATGAGAAGGGAGCACTCACTGGAAAAGACCCTGCTGCTGAGAATGATTGAAGGTAAAATAAGGGACAGCAAAGGATGAGATGGGTAGACAGTGTTATAAATGCAACAAACATGAAATTAAGCAAACTCTGGTGGACAACAGAAGACAGGAGAGCCTGGCATGATGTGGTCCATGGGGTCACAAAGAGTTGGACTTGATTGTGCGGCTGAATAACAACAACCACCCATAGTACTGAGCTCTGGGAGTTGGGAGATGCCCTACCATGCCGATCCTTGAGATCCTCTGTGACGCAGTGCTGTACCTGAATCGCTCTGGATTACTGGGCTCTTAGATCTTCTCCATGCTGCCAGAGATAAACTGAGCTTCGAGAAACTGCATCTGCTGACCAGTGTTCCCTCTAAGCTGAGTTAATGTGAGCTAGCTCAGTTTTTTTAGCCTCCAGCTCATACGTTTTTGTCTTCGCGCAGGAAGGATGGCTCCAGAGCCAACTAATTTATGCAGTAGTCGAATCGCTCGCTCACAACTTTAATGCCAGTAGCTCACAAAGCAGAATTTTTGCTCACAAGACTCCACAGCTTAGCGGGAACATTGCTGCCGACATTTCCTTTTCTCTGTACCTATTAGAGGACCAGATATCCTAATCTGAAGGCTTGTGATAAAGGACATTTCTGTCAAGTGACAATTGTCTACTTTGGATTACTTGTTGCTTCTTCTGTCTTTAGTGTGCCAGTTTAGAATACTGCCAGTCTCTGATTAAATCCCTCCTCAGCCATGAGACTCTTGCACCAAGAACTATCTTCTAGCCTAATTTACCTCACAGAGATGTTGTAAAGTGG